GGTAGATTGTGGTAAAGTGTTGGAACTCTTGGAAGCAAGTTCTGGTGAAAAAATAGGAAAAATTGTAACAGTGATATTGGTTTAATACTCCCTAGCCTACTTCATTTTCGGTTATTACTCATGTGAATTAAATTTTGTTTTAGCCTTTAAAAAATTAAATTTTCTATGGGGGGGACAATTCCCCCCAAATATGTGTGGCTATGCCAGTGACATTTTTTATGGTGTAATACCATGTGTTTTGGTATTTACTCGTGTACAATAGAAATGGAGGTTTTGAATTTTTGTTCCTACAGCGGTAAAAACATTTTTCTTTGTTTTAATTACCTTTTTTTTTCTGAGTATACTGGGTAGACCAGATTTTGGATTCAAATATATTCTTTGATATTTTATACATAGTTGTTTTATTCTGTTAATTGTATGTGTTTTAGATGAAACAAATTTTTAATTGAACCTAACATTTAATTTTCAATCAGTCAGTCGGTCAAGCTTTCTCTTTATTATGTTGGAAAGAAGTGTTTGAAAGTTGAGATCATTAATTGTTTGTTAACTTGCATCCATATTTTCCATGAAATGATGACTTCTTAGAGTTTTGAAAAACCAGATTCTTCATAAACCTGCTTCTGGTTATAAAATATAAAAATAATAAATAACAGTGGATCTGTAGAAAATGTCATTTTATCCTTTTATAAATATATAAATCCGTTATCTTCAAATATCTGAAGAAAAATTGGTGGTGGTTAAAACTTAAATAGAAATATCAAAACTTGAGCAACGTTAATGAAAAAAAAATCGAATCTTCCAAACACCAAAGAGACTATTTTTCTTACAAAATAGACACAAACATTAAAGTTGCTTACAATTTCTGATAAAGCCTTGGTAGTTTAAATGAAACTTGAGGTAGTATAAGCTTAGAAAAATAACGGTGGGTGCTGCCTTTCATCTATCTGTTAAAAAATAGAGCTATATGTAGGTAGCCCTTATATATTTTAGAAATGTGCAATCCTCAAAATGTAATAAAAATTGAAGTTTGCACAAGGGCTAAACCCTTGGGAATATAAACGATTTTTTTAAACACTCAAACCAAGTATATCTTTCTTGTAGAACTGAAAAATTTAAAAACTGTTGACAAGAAAAATTGTTACTTTTAATGCAAGAAAAAAAAGAATTGCAATTTTCGAAACATTCAAACTACGTATATTTTACATGTAGAATTGAAGGTGATTGGGGATTTTTGACCAAAGCATCATAGTTTAGGCCTCAGACCTTTTCATGAAAAAATACATTTTTGGAAACGTCCAAAATCTGATCAAAACTTACAGAAAAATACCAAACCGAGTTCGTCTTTCCTGCAGTACAGAATCAAAATTTAACTGGTGAAAATTCGGACAAAAACTCCTAGACTTAATGAATTTTGATACTTCCAAATCGACAGTATATTTTTACTCATAAAAAATAAATCTAAGGTTGTCAAGATATGAACAAAACAACCGAGATTTAAGGACAATGATAAAAAAAGAAGAATTTTCGAAACGATAAGATCTACTAAATCTATTTGATTACACAAAATTAAAATTGAAGGTGGTCAACATTTTTATGGAAACGACAAAGCTTAACTCATTATTTTGAAATACTCGACCGAATTTATCTTACAACGCTAGAATCCGGGTTTCGATACCCGTGGTGGGCAGAGCACAGATAGCCCTTGTGTAGCTGTGTGCTTAATTACAAATAATAATAAACAAAAAAACAAACAAACAAGACTTTTAATGAAAATATGGAATTGTTTTAAACGCCAAAATCTAGTCCAGCGTACCCGCAGTAAAACTGAAGATTATCAAAATCTATTAATGATTTAACGTTGGGTCCTTGAGACTTTATTAACGCACTTACAATGCTAAAAGACAGGGTTCGATTTCCCGCGGTGGTCACAGCAGATGGCCCAATGTGGCTTTGCTCTAAACAACAGAGACAATTCAATAATGCTTAAGTATTCAAAATCACTGGAACTCAAACCATAAAAATTGCTAAGTGAAATATATATATATTGATACACTTAATTCATTTTATTTTTCATCACGAAGAAATGCAAGTTTGAAAATTTAAAAACTTAGGTAGAAACATCAAGCCTGAACTCTTGGGACTTTCAATAAAAGAAAGAAAAAAAAACACCTTCCAAACGGAATGTTTTAACACATCAGAATTTTCGATGGTTTATATTATTTATAAAGGTAAATAAAAAATATTTTTTCACCACAAAAATTAAACATGTAAGCAGTCGACTTTTATGTAAATCAACGATCCGGATCACAGAAAACTTGAATGTTTTTGTATAAAAACTTAACTAGGCGGCATGGCCTTTACCGATGTGTTCTTTTAAATTATGAAAATAATTCAAAGTTCAGTCCATTTAAACTATAACAAATTAGCTTATTTCATTACGGACAGGTCAAATTGCGCATGTTAGGACGTTTTAGTGAGTAACATTCAAAACTTAATTAAACCACTTAATTATCATGGTATACGAACAAAGTTGACATATAAATAGATAATAAATAAAAAATTAATGTTCTTAATTATACAAAGAAATACTTAAAAACAACCTCAAACTCCCCTGGTGTGAGAATTGTAACATCTTGTTCTCTAGTCATCGCCTCTTCTATAATTTATTTACCACCCCTCCGAGAACTACAAAAGTAGATATAAAATGTTCTCTATAATTTCGTCGTAGGTTAAGTGAAGCACTATTTTTATATCCTTCAATCTTACACGCCTAAAAAGCAATCAACTACAAATTCAGGC